ATAAGGTGCCGTGGAGCTTGCCTTCTCCCCTGTTAAATACTCATTAGAGAAACCTTTAAGGATAATGTTAGCCTGCGTCACAAACCAGTGGGAAATGAGCTGACAAAACAGAGTTTCACAAACTGTCATTTGAGTCCTGCTTAACCAAAGCCATGAGAAAAAGACATTTTGAGCCATAAACATATATATATATTTTGCCAATGTTTTTTTTTTTGTTTTGTTTTTTGCATCAGCCTTGTTTCAAATCAAAGAGGCGAAGCCAGCCGAGTGAGACTTGGGTCAGCAGGCAAAATAAATGTAAAGTTTCAGATTAGCGCCAAACATCAAACAAACCACCGTCCTCTTCAAAAACCAGGCAAAGCTGCTTCCCTGTGTTGTTTGGACCACACTTTGTGAAGCATCACCCACACAAAAATCTTCAAAAGACTCACCACTGATACAAACATTTTAAAAAGCTGCTTTTTATGAAATRCTGTAGGTTCTTCTCTTAAAATGACAGACTTATTTTATTTACAGCAATAAACACTAATGTGTATAAAATATGCAATGATATACTGTTTTGTCCAAAAACATGTAAAAATAAATCACATTTCTGTAGAGCTTTAAAAAAAACAAGATGCAGAATGGTATCTTTGATTTACAACAAGCAAATTAACAGTAACTCAAGCGATGGCTGAAAAGTAAAATGTCTAAAAAACAATTTGCATACTATCTTTTATCTATACTTTGTGATCARTTGTAGTTATAAACAGGAGAACCAMAAAGTGACTATCTTCCATGTTTACTATGACATCATATCTGGGGCGTGGCCAGGTTTTCTAYAAACTTTGTAAGAACAGGTGATTCTGGACCATTTCTTGTGTCTCCAGAGCAAAGGAGGCAGATCTGATTATGTGTAGTAAACTCTACATGACTATAGATATCCAGGTCTGGAGAATAGAGTTGATCAGGGATAACACYACAAGAATTGTGGGGAATCTCCAAAGTCCCAGATGTTAGACAAATAAATGCAGCAATAGTCAAACACCAATGCATTTACCATGTCAATTTAAGCAAACACAATGCTTCTGGGGCCAAAACTAACTTTGATTRTTACAGCAATACACAGCTGATGTGTTAGCTACAATGCAGTGTCAGAAAAATGTGTTGAATTGATGAAAACATGTGTGGTGTTTCTGTGCTGATTCATGCTCTTTTGTGTTGGTGACAAACAGCACAGATGATGATTCTGTGTGAGATGTATGCCTTTCATTTGACATGTATTGCACAGGCTTTCGACAGTAGGATGGATAATGATTTTGCCTTTTATTTTATTTTCCTTTTCTAGCTGGTGTTAAGTGTTAGGCAACAGCTGTTAAAATGCTTTTTTGTTTTTGTTTTTACAAATTGATAAGTTCTAAGTTTTCTTATTAACATATTCAGTGTTTGGTTTGGAAAGAGAAAGGATTTTTTCCCTCATAGTTTTGCTCGCTTTAGATCACATGTGTCAAACACAAGCCTGTGGCCCC